AATGAGCAAGTTAACTGAATAAGTAATATCAGGACGGGTGAAAGTGAGATACAGAAGTCGTCCAACCAGTCGTCGAAAAGCGTACGGGTCCGAACAAGAGAAGAATCAGAATGACCAAGGCGATGATTCTGCTCAATAGGGGACAAGCACGGACGCGTACCTTCGTAGCCGGTGTCAGCGAGAATGTCCAAGGTATACTTCCGTTGATTGAGGACTAGTCCCTTGGGTGACCGAGCTACTTCGATCCCCAAGAAGTACTTGAGAGGTCCAAGATCCTTGATGGTGAACCGAGCATGAAGAAAATCCTTGACCTTCTGAATGAAAACAAGATCATTACCAGCAAGAATGACATCATCGACGTAGATTAAAGCTGTAACAAATGAACTGCCGGATTGATAGATGAATAGTGAATGATCTGCACGACTCTGTCGAAACCGAAGCTCTTGTAATGCGGCCGAGAATTTTGCATACCAGTTACGGGAGGCTTGCTTGAGGCCATAAATCGATTTATGGAGACGGCAAACTCGAGTATCACCTGGTTCTGCAAAACCTTGTGGTATCTTCATATAAACTTCTTCATCTAAGTCGTCGTGAAGGAAGGCGTTATTGACATCCAATTGGTGAAGAAACCACCCTCGGCTAGCAGCGACGGCTAGAAGACAACGAACTGTGACGAGTTTGGCGACTGGTGCAAAAGTATCATGATAATCTATCCCCTCGACTTGAGTGTATCCTTTCGCGACCAGACGAGCCTTGTACCTTTCGATTTCCCCATCCGGTAGATACTTGATCTTATAAACCCACTTTGAATCAATTGCCTGCTTACCTGGTGGTAGAGAGACTAGACTCCATGTGCCATTATCTTTGAGCGCCAAGATTTCGGCTTTCATGGCATCACGCCATACCTCATACCGAACCGCCTGGGAGAAATGGCGGGGTCTGCCATGACATCAATGTTAGCTAGATAAGCTCGATAGCTAGGGGACAATTTTTCATAAGTGACGTGGTGCTCAATTGGGTACTGAACTGTGCTAGCCTCGGTGAGGGATGCGAAAGTAATGTGGGAAGATTCACGTCGAAACCATCAAAGCATCGAGGAAGCTGTGGTTGTCTGTCACTTCGACGAAGAGGAATTGTAGGAGTGGGAATTGCCTGGGTCGTCGTTGCTGGCGCACGTGAGGAAGATGGGATCGATGGAGACATTGGAGTGGCCATCTCCTGGCCAGGCGTGGAGGGCAAGTGGCCATCTTGCGATCCTGTAGTGGCAATTTCTTCGCCTTGTGGGACTTCAACAACAGTGGGGTGAATTCCCCCTTGATTTTCATGGGGAACATCATCTGGTTCCTGATGGAGTTGATTGAGCACATGAAAATAAAAGCCCATCATCTACCTGCGGCCATGCATTCCCATGCAATGGGAACGTCGACTGGGAACCATGATCCTTGATGGAGGGCAGAGCACGGAACGGATAAATCTCCTCCATAAAAGTGACATCTCGCGACGTGTATATGACCTTGTCAGCGAGATCGTAGATGCGATAGCCTCGTTGAGTAGCTGGGTAGCCCACGAACACTCCTGCTCGCCCCCTTTCGCTGAACTTACGTAACCCTTGGTGATTATCCTTTGCATACACCAGACAGCCGAGGTTTCGCAAGTGTGAGTAGGAAGGCTGCTTGCCGAGCAGAAGTTGATATGGAGTCTGATTCTGAACGGACGTGAGTGGCATGCGATTTATGAGGTAAGCAGCCGTCAAGACACATTCTCCCCAAAAACGTGAAGGTAATCCAGCATGAAAAAACAGAGCACGAGCAGTGTCAAGAAGATGCCTGTGCTTACGTTCTACGACCCCGTTCTGTTGTGGCGTGTCGGTGCAGGATGTTTGCAGGATTATACCATGCTCCTCATAGTAGTAACGCAATATAGAACTATTGAATTCAGGTCCATTATCTGTCTGAATTCGACGAACTTTCATACCATACTAAGTAACCACATGATTACAGAAAAGCAAAAGATAGTGAGCTGCCTCCGACTTGTGTTTCAAAAGAAAAACCCAAACGCATCGACTATAATCATCCACAACTGTGAGAAAATAATGTGCACCAGACATAGAAGCTTGACTGTAACTCCCCCAAATGTCGACATGAATCAACTCAAAACAGGCCGCAGTTTTGATACTACTAGTCTCAAAAGTAAGTCTAGTTTTCTTGGCTCGCAAACAAGAACCACATGAAGTACTAGTTCGAACAATAGTACTATTTAGAAATGATGATAAAACTGAAAGCTTCTCAAAAGACGGATGACCGAGACGTGAATGCCACAATCTTTTTTCCTGACATGCTCGCTTTGCTGAGAAAGCTACTTGATGACCTCCATCGAACAAGCGTAAATGATATAGCCCACCAAGATGAATCCCCGTTCCAATCAGCTTCTTGGAACGTAAGTCCTGAATCACACAAAAATCACTGATGAAAACCAAGGCAACCGGGAGATCGGCTGTTAGACGGCTGACAGACAGCAAGTTGCATTTGAACTCAAGGACGTGCAACACACGATTCAGAACTAGACCATTATCTAATTATGCATGTCCGATACCCTAAACTGGAACACCTTTTCCATTGGGTATCTTTACCTGCAGACCATTGCTCATCTCGAGCTCATTGATAAACATATCTTTAGAAATATGTTCGTTACAGCCGGAGTCTATAACCCATGAATTTTGAACAGAATTAATTGCCGAAAGGACCGTCCCTGCCATGTTTACCGTGGGAGTGGCCGTTGACTTTGCTTCAGCGTTGAGGAAGGCCCTCAATTGATCGAATTGAGCTGCTGTAAGGCCTGGTACGCTGCTCTCACTTGACTCAACTTGGGCAGCACGAGGAGATGTGGTTCTGTTTCCTCGACCACGCCCACGTCGTCCTCGTCCACCACGTCGAGCTGGCTGGTCGCGCTCTTGCTGCTCTTGCGGCCACCCAATTATCTCGTAGCAAGTATCCCTGAAGTGGCCGACTTTTTGACAGTGGCTGCACCCGGGGCGCCCTTCTAGCGTGCGGTTGGTTTGAGAATTCAACTCCCCAGCAAAATTTCCTTGAGCTTGAGGAGCCGCCGCTTCTATCTTAGGGCGCCGATTACTTGTGATCATTCTCTGTTGTTCATCGTTACTCACCATCTGGAAAGCCTCTCCTAGAGTTGGGGTAGGCTTCATGGACAGCACCTGGCTGCGAATAGTGTTGAACACATCATCCAGACCAATTAAGAAGTCAAATAGTCTATTACTATCCTCGGCATCTCTCATGCGTTTTTCGATCTCGCATTTGCACAGCCCACACGTGCACTTGGGGGCTGGAGATATCGCCTGAATTTTATCCCATAGACTGCGAAGTTTGGTATAAAAACCTGATACGCTGGCCTTCTCTTGTTGATGGAGAGCGATCGATCTGCGGAGCTGGTAAAGACGGGCTAGGCTGCCCACTCTGAATCTCTCCTTGAGATCAGACCAGATCTGCTGTGCAGTTTCAGCATAGCGCACATTAAGACGTACTTCTCGAGACATAGAGCTTTTTAACCAACCCATGACCATGGCGTTGCACCGAGCCCATGCGTCTTGCTGCCAATCTGCCTCGATCTTGGCTAGTTTTCCTATGACGAAACCTAACTTGTTCTTTGCTAGGAGAGCTTGACGCATATCGGATTCCCACTCACCATAATTCAGTTCGGTGAGCAGCTCTCCCACAAAGACATGTCCAGGCTGATCAGATGCGTGTAGATATCACGTTCACGCCGGAAGAACTGCTCTTTTCCTTCTCGTCGGACATGACTCAAATTGTGGCGGCGATGACTTCGGAAGGGAGCGGCTGACTTAGGTCAAGCTGGATTGAGCCGCCAGCTTTGATACCATGTAGAAATCTAGATTGCGAAAAAGAATCGAACAGAAGACAAGGATTTACGTGGTATCCCTGCTCGATGTGAGCAGGACTAATCCACGGAGAGCTCAATGGAGCTCTCGGCTGTGACTGATATTATTGATGTTGTGTATTGTGTTTTTCACGGCTGTAGACTTGACTTACAACTTATATAGTGTTAGGGTTGAGACTTGGGCTGACTACCCTATAACCCAGTATCTAATTGCTTCTCTCACAAGGACGACAGATGAGTCAAGAAGGGAATGAAAGATTCTTCCCATGAGGACTCGGACAAAGGACAATTACATAATGATCATAACACTAATGACATTTAACAGTGCTCAAATGTCTAATGCCAATACCATCTCTACTCCATGCACTGTTGTCATCATACAGCAATCAGCCATGGATTCTTCTCCATTGTTCGCCGACCCTGTTCTGTATCGCAGCATTGTTGGCGGATTGTAATACCTCAGCTTCACCCGCCCGGACATTTCCTTTGCGGTCAACCACGTCTCTCAGTTTTAGCACTCTCCAACAGACAACCATTGGGCCGTTGTGAAGCGAATACTTCGCTACCTTCGGGGGACTCTTGCTCGTGGACTTGTTTTCTCAAACTCTCCCTCACTCCATGTCCATGGCTATTCGGATGCGTCGTGGGCCTCTTGCCCCAAGGATCGCAAGTCTATCACTGGGTTCGCAGTTTTCTGTGGCACGAACCTTGTGTCCTGGTCCACTCGCAAGCAAAAATCAGTTGCTCGCTCCTCTACCGAGTGTGAATATCGTGCTCTCGCCACACTTGCTTCTGAGGTACTTTGGTTACAGACTTTACTTCATGAACTGGGTCAATCCATTCCTACTTCTCCGGCTCTGTGGTGTGACAATCTTGGTGCGATGTTTCTTGCGCACAATCGGGTGTTTCATAATCGGTCTAAGCACATGGAGATAGAATTCCATTTTGTCCGTGATCAGGTCAGCAAAGGTCAGCTACGTGTGCATTACTTACCGGCCCCTGATCAACTCGCAGATGTGCTGACCAAGCCTTTACCGCGCCAGTCCTTCAACAAGTTTTGTTGCAAGTTTCAACTCACCGAGCCTTCACTTGCGGGGGCGTGAAGAGGAACTTGCTCCTGAAGTTTCTCTATTGCTGTTAGTTGTTAGTAGTGGAACGTTGCCCACCTTTGACAGTTCCTTATTTCACTCCATTCAGTTTTCATTGTATCCCGCAGCACTCTGCTGCTATGTACTATAAATCTGTTGATTGAATAATGGAAAACTCATGTCTTGGGGTTTTCAGTTAGTTTGTGAGCCGAAGAAGTAGAGCTTAGAGCACAGCTGCAAAAGAAGAGAAGTGGCTGAACCAACGCAACGCAGCCATGGCTTCAATGATGGCAACCACAGGCGCCTACCTCCGCAGTCAATACTGGAGACCGCGCCGCGAAAACTACGGCAAAGCTGGATTCAGCCGCCGTTTCCTGCTTTGTCAGCAGCAGCAGAAGCAGCACGACCCCACAAAACCCACCGCACAAATTGCTCGAAGGTACTTGTTTATCTTATCCATTACAGAATACAAGTCGTAATATATGTGCTTACGATCCCGCTGTGGATACACCTTCCTGATTTAGGGAGATTATTCTGAGGAGCAGCGAATTGGCGGTGGTTGGGGCGATATTCAATCTCAGGCGAGTTTCCTTTTGCTGAGCTGATTGAGATGGATTCGGGTTCTCTTTCCATTTTCTAGCCCGCCCGCCCGCGGCTGAATGGAATTGGAAGGAGTAGTACTTACATAGTTATAATACATTGCAGCGGGAAGAAGCCTGATTACCTCGGAGTTGGGAAGAAGCAGCAGCAACTGGCGCTTTGCCCGGCCACCAACAACTGCATCTCCACGTCCGAGAATGTCAGCGATTCCGCCCACTACGCTCCTCCTTGGTACACAACCAACCCAACCATAAAGATGCACTGAATAGCGGTAAGCCGCCTATGTTGATGCTAGTGATTTGGGTGCTTATGTTGATAGGAACTACAATGGCGGCAGGCCGCAGGCCGTCAGCAGACAAGTTGCGATGGACGAACTTGTACAAGTGGTAGGGTAGGGTAGCGGAGGCTACCACATTCTTTTGTTCATTCCATTGTGATTGCAGCCCTCTTCCTTGCTTGCTACTAGACAGTGTTGGGTTTCGCAGATAAAAACCACCAAGCCGGACAAATACAGCGCACGGATTGTGGAACAGAATAGCGATTATGTGCACGCTGAGTACGCAAGTCCTATCCTAGGGGTATGCCCTACATGTCTGTCAAGTCAAATGCCCTATAAATTGGAAAGGAACGCCCAACTGAAATTCACATTTCTTCCCTCCAGTTGGTTGACGACGTCGAGTTCTGGTTCCCACCAGGTAGCAAATCGACTGTCGAGTATCGTTCTGCGTCAAGATTGGGGGACTTCGACTTTTATGCCAACCGAAAACGAATCAAGGTTAGTTCAGCCTCTGTCAAAAGTTTCTTTTATGCTTACATACCTCATTTCCCCCTATTCTTCCTGCCACCCATTGCAGGCTCTGAGGCAGGAGCTGGAGAAGAAAGGATGGACTTCTGAAAACCACTTCTGAATCCCATCCCTTCGACGAATAGAGTGACATGGAAACAACGCTTAAATTCCATCACCACAACGCAAAAGCTTCTGACACACCACGTCAAAAGCACAATCAACAGCTCTTTACTCCTAAAACGTCAGCTGCTGACAGTCTAAAGTTACAAACAAAGCCAGCGCATAAATATCAATTGTCCCATTTTGTATCATCTTTTTAGAAAGAGCTACAACACCCTTCCATTCCACGATAACCCTCCCCTACAATGGCCGTTCCATTAGCCTCAACTCTTCTAAGACAGACCACCGGTCTAGTCTCGTCTCAACGGCATAAATTCTCGATGAATGCCACCAGCATTGAGCACCACTATCTCAAGATTGTCCCCCTGCACAAGGAAAATGATGTATGTGTTGTTCAGATAAAATCTTATTTGGTCACTGGTCACAAACCAAAAGGATGACACATTGCATTTACACATATATGATGCCCCCCAAAAGATAAAAAACATTTACTGATTAGCAAATCAGAATGCGACATTCTCCACATTTCCCAGAGAAGGCATAACCGGAAGAAGGAAAAAAAACATCAAATAAACCATATATTTTGGTAGAAACAAGACCCGGGAACTTACAGTGTGGATGTCTCTCTCAGTTGCAGAAGCGAAACAAGTTTTCACCAAATCAATTGCTTCAGATTGTGAAAGTGGAGTCACAGCATCCTGGAAAACAATAGCTTATCAAGTGATATGTAGAAAGAATTACCACTTCATGAGTAACATAAAAGGGGATTATGTTTAGGGTTGGACCTGTGCAGGCAGCAAGAGAGGGCTTGGAGACTTCAACTGGTTGTCAAGGAAAGGCATGATAAGCACAGAACCAGAGCCCTGGGCGCTGTAACCGACCCTCTCATAGGAACCAACAGCATCGTACGTGTAAACACATCCCTTTCCTAAGGTGTCATAAAGAATGTATCAAGTGGCTGACACAACGCTACATAGTTTAATATCAATCCACCACCATATCAATTTACCTTCGTTATCAAGGCCACCTAGAACATTAAAGGTGTAGTAAGGGAAGAAGCGTTTGTAGTACAGAGTGTTGGATAGTAGTTGACCCATTGCAGGGCAGCTCATTTGCTTGTTATGTTGATGCTGATAGATCTGCAATTGAAATAAGGGTTCAGCAAATAAACAAAGTAATCCTAATTTAAGACTTCTCATTTTCTTATTTACTGAAACCACATTACAAAATAAAAGTTACACTATGTTATGAAGCCTACGCTCCCAATCCAGTACATTCAAACCAAAACTATTCCACTCACGGTTCAGTAACTCCGTATAGACTGGAGAATAGAGCATTAATTAATTAAACCACATTTCCTGAGCACTACAGAGCTCAGTGGCAAAAAAAGCTAAGCAAATAATACTTGGATGATATCGCAACCATGTAATTGACGATATATGTTCCGAGTCACTCACCAGGTGCCTGGCGGCCAACAACTTTTGCAAGGCCTTCATATCAGCTTGAAACCCGGAAGAAGCTAATATACATTTGTCCGCTCTGAAAGCAGAAGACAGTCACAGAAGTAAGGCACTATTAGAATCGCCCCCATCGCAGGAAAAAAGCACACTAGCTAAGCTGGTCGTAGGTAGAGCAATGATTTCTCATCTGAACTATGCAGTATATGATATTATTCAGAACTAGACACTTCACACAGCCAAATTCATAACCATGAATGAGATTAGATACTGGGTTCCAGTTTACAAGTCAACATACCAAAAGTACATAAAGCATGATTCGCACGCTCAATTGCTACCAATGCCCTTGTTAGAAGCCTGATGCCTGACTCGGATTAAGATCTCAACTTAGACCAGATTAGTTCCTAATTGCAGCGTAAACCAAAATTCGCATAACCCACACGCACAATACAACAACAACGAGAAAAGAAACCTAGAGTATCTACCCATTGCAAAACTCATGCATCCGACACATTCCAGTTGACACCACAAGGAATCAAACCTATCATTCTTAAACCACGAGAAGCGGGGGTAAATGACAAATTGAGCTAAGGAAGAAAATCGAGGCTCGAACACCTACAGCTTGTAGATTTTGGAGTGATCCCGGGTGAGAATATTGTAGCCGGTGGACATCCGAGTATCCGAAGCGATAACGCAGTAATCTGCTCCAGCAATCGCAACACAGGATCTAACAAACATCCGCGGCAGAGAGCAAAAGCATTCAGCAAAACATAAAAGAATTCGCCGTTGAAAGACGTTAAAGAACAGATAGGGAAAACAAAAAGTAAAACCAATACCCGCCGTTGTTGTCGTACGGAGAAAATCTCGACATGGTGTAGTATTCAGATGAAATCAAACAGAACTGAGATTGAGCGTCTAGGGTAAACACAGTAGCTGGCTACTAGCGAGGAAAGAAGAAGGTCTCGACGAACCAGTTATATTTTGTTTCTTTTAGATCTATCAGCCCTGTCTTTGGCTTCAAGAAAAGCCGAACCGGAAAGGTCCGTCCCTTACGGTGTCGTAGTTGGTGGGTTTGGTGGGCTACGACACTGTGTTGGGTCGGTATTATGTATGGGCTGAGCCTAATTTATGGGGAATAAGATTTTGCAACACAAACTAGTTTGGTTTGGTTTTGGTGATAGCTTAATTTGGTTTGGTTTTGGTGATAGTTAAATTGATATATTGTCATTAATGGATGTATAATAATATATATGTATATATAAAAAATGGTGTATTGTAGTTTAAATCGTTTGGTTTCTGTGATAGTTATTATAATTTTAAATAATTTAACTTACTTTTTGAGTGAAATGTCACTTTTAACCTTTATTTTTAATATGAAAAAGCAACACACATAAGAAAGTAGGGTCATAGTTGGAATAAAAACAAAACTCAACAATCTCACCCAAAACTTGAGATTTAACTATCACTCATTTTGAGTGATAGTTTGTGTCAAATCAAGCAAACAATGCTTGTATTGTTTGTGGACAATGCATGTATTGTAAATATCTCAACCAAATTATCACCAAAACCAAACTACCCCTTAGTACTTGCTCTTTGAAATTTGGACCTCAATTAAATAAATAGTTTAGAATTGGAGTGAGGTTCATAATGATATGCTCACCAATCATAAACTATTACCTAAAGAGGCAAGATGATATGCAACTGCATTCACTTCCTAAACACATGGATCATATCAGCCTGCCAAATTTAAGACAAAAGTTTTCGAGCCGCCACTATCAAGATAGTGGGGGCATGGTATACCAATTTGGACCAACAGGTTGGATTGGAAAAACTAGAATCATGTCTTGTTTAGGACGGAATGTACTAATCTGGTCATTTGTCACGTTGCTCGATATCTACGATCGAATCATCGAACCACAAGATATCAGTCGTCTTTGGTCCAACCGGGTCGCACATTGAAATAAAATAACTTTGTTTAGCTCAGAACAACATCGTATTTTTTATATAAAACAAGAAAAAAGTTATCAAATTGACAAAGACAAACCCTAAACTTAAATCCAATTTGATAGTTGAGTGACTCTTCCCTTCTCAACATAATAGAAGACTTCAGCCTTCCCTCTCCCTCATTTCGCATCAGCCACCTACCTAGTGTCAAATTGATAGCAACTCGTTTTCCCCGAGTTAGGGTTGCTTGTAACTCACAAGCGAGAGAATGAATTTGGCGTCGAAAGACCTTTTCTTATTAATTCGATAACCGAAACTAACACCGAACACACATATTTATAGGGTAGAAACAATAATACCCGACTAGGCCCTCTCGGCCCCTACCCCTAATCCGGCACCCTTAAGAAGCCCAGCTTCTCATGAATTACGTACTAGGCCCTAACCGACAATATAATACCAACCGAACAAACCTGAATCCATAACATAATAATAATATGCAAATTGTAAATAACAATTAAGCCTGCTGGACTACGAGTTGCTATCATCCCTTCCCCAATTCAACCTTGTCCCCAAGATTGACATTCAACCTCCTCTTCGAACAAGCACATAATCTTGGCCATGCCGCACTTGTGCCCTATGGTAAATCGTTTGTCACAATTGAAGCATAACCCTTGAGCGCGATGCAGCTGCTGTTCTTCCCAAGTCAACCTCCTGCCTCTCGTTGCCCCTCGCGGTGGTCCCGCTCCTATCGTCGCGGTTGCAGCCCGCGCTCTTGTTGGTCCACCTCCAAACCTGCGGCCAAACCAGTGGTTACGGATCATGTTCCTCAGCTTTCTTTCCCCACTCGTATGCACAAGGACAAGCTAGAGACTGAGTTTGCCAAGTTCATGGCAATGTTGAAACGTATCAACATCAGCATACCGTTCGTGGAGGCACTGTCGAAGATGCCCAAGTAAGCGAAATTCATGAAGGACCTCCTCACCAATAAGAAGAAACTTGGGGATCTGCAGATAGTGATGTTGAGTGATGAATGTTCTGAAATCTTGCAGAACAAGCTGCCCGAGAAACGCAAAGACCCAGAGAGTTTTAGTATCCCTCTTGTTATTGGCAGCATGCATGTAGGAAAGTCCTTGGCGGACTTAGGCGCTAGCATTAATGTCATGCCCTATAAATAGTTTAAGAAGTTAGGCCTAGGTGAACCCAGAACCACTAGGATGAGTATTCAGTTAGCTTATCGATCGATGGTGCATCCTAGGGGTATCATTGAGGACTTGCTTGTTAATGTGGGTGCATTCACATATCCTGTTGATTTTGTTATCTTGGACATAGATGAAGATGTGTATGTGCCTTTGATTTTAGGTAGAACATTTCTCGCCACCGCCAAGGCTTTGATTGATGTGCATAGTGGCAAGTTAATTTTGAGGGCTATGGATGAAAAAGCTATATTTTGTATGTCTGACAATGCAAAGCATTCCCACTTGCATGATAACTTGGATAACTTGGATCACGAGTGCGGGTACTGATGATGCCCTTGAGCAATGTATTTTGCTAGGTGAGCATGCATCGCAGAGTTGCAGCTGGAGGAGCAGTTGGCATCGCTAGAGCATGGCGAGTTCATGGAGGTCGAGAAGTCGTTCAAGTTGATCTCATCCTCGACCTATATCACCACCTCATTAGAAGAGCCACCAGAACTGGAGCTGAAGCCCCTCCCTCCTCACTTGGAGTATGCATTTCTCTGGGAGGGGAACAAGCTTCCAGTTATCATCAGCTCGACCCTCACACCGAGCAAAAGACCAGACTAGTGGCCCTGTTGAAGCAGTATGAGCGAGCTATGGCATGGAGGATCACCGATATCTGGGGGTCATCCCTTCTTTCTGTTCCCACCGGATACTATGGAGGATGAGTATGGTATGCAATTGTGGAGTATGAAATTGTGTGTTACCACTGTGGTTAGAGCGGCGATTGTCAAGTTGATGGACATGGGTATCATCTTCATCATTTTCGATAATGAGTGGGTCAGTCCCACTCGGGTAGTGCCTAAGAAGGGTGGGATGACTGTGGTCCCAAATGAGAAGAATGAGCTCATATTGATAAGAATGGTGACTAGGTACTGCGTCTTCATCGACTATAGCCGCCTCAATGATGGCACAAGGAAGGATCATTTTCCTCTGCCATTCATTGACCATATGCTCGAAAGGTTAGCGGGGCACGATTTTTACTGTTTCCTAGATGGGATGTCTAGGTATTTCCAGACTCTCATAGCACCAGAAGACCAGGGCAAAGACCACCTTCACCTGCCCTTTCGGCACATTCGCCTACTGGAGGATTCCATTCGGACTTTACGACGCCCCCTCCATGTTAAATAGGTGTATGCTCGCCATCTTCGATCGTCTGGTCGGAGAAATCATGGAGCTGTTCATGGATGACTTTTCGGTTTATGGAGACTCATTCTCTCATTGTCTCCATAAGATGGAACTCGTCCTGAAAAGATGTGAGGAGACAAACCTGGCGCTGAGTTGGGATAAATTCACTTTATGGTTCACGAGGGCATAATACTAGGGCATAAGATTTCCAAACTGGGGATCGAGGTGGACCACGGCAAGATCTAGACGATCAGTAAGCTGCCTCCTCCCACGTCTACGAAGGGAGTTCGCAGTTTCCTGGGACATGCAAGTTTCTATGCCGGTTCATCAAGGACTTCTCGAAGATCACCTTGCCACTAGCGAAGCTTCTTGAGAAGGATGCCCACTTCCATTTCACTGACGCGTGTACAGCATCATACACGATCTTGAAGGGGCATCTCACTCATGCTCTTATCATGGTCACTCCTGATTGGACCTTACCATTTGTGCAGATGTGCGACGCTAGTGACTTCGCAGTTGGAGCTGTCCTGGGGCAGAGGCGAAATCAGCATTTTCGACCAATCTATTATGCATCAAAGACCCTCAATGATTCCCAAGAGAATTCCACCACCACAGAGAAGGAGCTGCTAGCCGTGGTGTTCACCTTTGACAAATTTCGTTGTTATCTGGTCCTGTCCCGCGTGGTAGTATACACGGGTCACTCCGCCATTAGATACCTAATGAGCAAGGCGGACGCTAAGCCTCAACTCATACGATGGATCTTGTTGTTGCAGGAGTTCGACATTGAAATCCGGGATAAGAAGAGAGCCAAAAATATTGATGCTAAGCATAACTCCCGGTTGGACGCCCCTCATGCACACAACTTTGTGAAAGATATCAACTACTCCTTTCCAGATGAGCGGCTGATGATGATGTTTATGGTAGAGATTGCAAGAGTTCGTGGATAAGCTTAGCATTCAAGGTGCATACTCTAGCTCGTGGTTAATGAAGTCGTACAAGAGAGCCTTATGGCGTTATTCGTGCTCAAATAATCTCTTACATGGAACATGGGCCAAGAGACGATTTCAAAGATTCAAAGAGATCTTGGGAGCATTTAAGATGGTTGAAAATGGCTCTGCAAGCAAGGCCTGCGAGTTTGTTGATGTGAAATCCATTGGCAGAACATATAATTCTCGTTGTCCAAAGATGAAGGCTCGAATACAACAATATAAGGATCGAAGGGGATCATTCATGATGGATATGGAATTGCTTCGAGGAAAGCACATCACATTACTACAATTTGTGGACCAGAATCAGGAGAAGATGGGCTTGGAAGAAGGAGTAGAAGATTCATCCCATAATGAAGGAATTCCCCAATGGTGTGAACACAAGGTGTGAAACAATACAAGTGTGAAATGAATATTAGGTGTGAACACAAGCCATGTGAGAGAGGATTTTAAGACTGGAATTAAGGGTTGAAAAAGTCAAAAAAATTTCCTTTTCTTTGTAAGACTTTGTTTACTTGTTTATTAAGGTTTTTGTTTTCCTTTTTAAAGTAGGATTTGTTTATCCTTAGTAGATTTGGATGTAAATTCGTTGCCTATAAGGAGGCCAAACGAATGTATTTTTCATTCAAGTTTTCAGCAATCAAGTAGAGTGTTTTCAAGTTCAAGTGAACGGTTTTGCTTAATCTCTCATTTGAGAATTCGGGAGAATTGAGTTGTCTCTTATCAACTAGAGAACGCGTCTAGTTGTGGCGATCATCGACAATATCG